TTGGATATACTGTACGTAATATTAGCTTGGACAAAATTAGTTTAATTTAACTTGCGATTCATATTGAAATAGCTGGCGGTTATTTGATTCCAAGAACTGGACTGTTTAGATAGATTTCATCAACCTAAAGTCAATTTCCCATGATTATAGTTGTAAAATAGGAATACAAATTCTATGTCATCGGGTCATAAATATAGACTATAATCTAGTATATGTAAATTATAATGATTGACCTAGATTCGATGGCGTCAATACTCGAGTTTAAGCTGGGCTTAGCGAAGATTATTTAACCATTTATCTTTGATTTGAAATAAGTTAGTATTGATAGCAAAACATAGTATTGGATTCTCTGTATAATGGGATATAGAAAATTTTTCTTTATGTAACAATAAAAAAGAAGGCCCATTTTATAGTTTTTTTGTTTTATTTTTTTATTATTTTTAGATTTTTTTTGATAAATTTATAGCGTTGAAAACGATGTTTTTGTAAGCGGGTAGTGTCCAAAGACTCACGCATACATCCCCAGTAACACAGTACCTAGACTGGTATCAAACTTATTCCATGATGGCTATAATAAGTCAGGGTGTGGTGTCTAAGACTCACACATACATCCCCAGCAGTACAGTACCTAGACTGGTATCAAACTTATTCAGTGATGGCTATAATGAGTCAGGGTGTGGTGTCTAAGACTCACGCATACATCTCCAGCAGTACAGTACCTAGACTGGTATCAAACTTATTCAGTGATGGCTATAATGAGTCAGGGTGTGGTGTCTAAGACTCACGCATACATCTCCAGTAGTACAGTACCTAGACTTGTATCAAACTTATTCCATGATGGCTATAATGAGTCAGGGTGTGGTGTCTAAGACTCACGCATACATCTCCAGCAGTACAGTACCTAGACTGGTATCAAACTTATTCAGTGATGGCTTTAATGAGTCAGGGTGTGGTGTCTAAGACTCACGCATACATCTCCAGTAGTACAGTACCTAGACTTGTATCAAACTTATTCCATGATGGCTATAATGAGTCAGGGTGTGGTGTCTAAGACTCAGGCATACATCTCCAGTAGTACAGTACCTAGACTTGTATCAAACTTATTCAGTGATGGCTATAATGAGTCAGGGGTGTCTAAGACTCACACATACATCTCTAGTAGTACAGTACCTAGACTTGTATCAAACTTATTCCATGATGGCTATAATGAGTCAGGGTGTGGTGTCTAAGACTCACACATACATCTCCAGCAGTACAGTACCTAGACTTGTATCAAACTTATTCCATGATGGCTATAATGAGTCAGGGTGTGGTGTCTCAACTCTAAGACTCTCACAGACATCTTATCAAGTAAATTGACGAGTTATCTAATCTGTAAAGCAACGCCTACTACACACGGACGCAAATAGGATTATACAAAATCTAGCTCTTGAATTACTCTAACTAGATCATAATTAAAAGTGTACTTGTACCTTAATTAACCCTTATCTATGTAGTGACGCACGGACGTTAAGATAAGCTTGGTATTTATACTCTTGTGTGAGTAGTGTAAATTTTTGCACCAAGAATTAGACGATGTATAATATTAGAACAACCAAGCACAGTCTAGGTTGTTTGAGGTGCTTGACCTCTCCTAAATGTTGTTCAGTTATCCCTCACCTTGATGTCTTCATCGCACCCTCCTTGTATACTCTGTATAAACTTCCCCTACAGTCTCGCAGATTAGCTTTGGATGTCTTCATCGAACATAAATTTCAACGTAGACTACTCTCATCTAAATACATCACAATTACATCCTTACTATTAGAATAAAGAAATGCAATGAAATGAACAACTCCTAGTGTTGCTCTAAGTATATGTTTGGAGCTGCGGGGTAGTAAAATGCCTGTGTTTAAAGAAAAGCGTCATTCATTGCGATTGTTTGTCGCACAGTCTTTTGCCATTCAGAAATAAGAACCCCTCATCCTCCTGTGCATCAGTTTTAACGAGTTCACTACTCGTTTCTTGCCAAACTGCAAGGCGTGAACTACGTCATAAAATACAAGAAACTGGCGCGAAGAGGCAATGCTGACATCAAAGAATGAGAGAACAAGAGAAAACGTGCTTGTAGTTGTCTCCAGCTCATCAGTCAAGTTCAAAATATTTTTTTAACAAAAGGCAATTTTATTAAAAATACAAATGTAACAAAAAGGCATTAACGAGAGTTTCATGGGAACTAATGCATTTGGAAGGAGCTCAAAAGAAAACTGACGCTTAAGAATCTACTTACTCGAGTCATCAATCACTTGATGATATTTACTAGACAGTTTAATTTAACCGATTTGTCAAGCAAATGAAATCATAAGATTACATTGGATGTTGTGAAAATACCATATGAATTATAGTGGAGGGGGTTGTTCCATTTAGGTTGTTCTTGATTGAAAGAACTCAAGCTTCAGGCGGATTCACACCAAAATGTCATAAACAACATCAATATCACCATCAATGTTTTTAAATTGGTGTACATTAAAATCCGCCCTATGAATTTTTGACAAGTGTAAGATGTCTTACGTTACTTTGTTATCTACTAATGTCAGCTGTTTTTAGACACAACCTTTTATTTCAAGCAAAATGATCAAGGCAAACTGCGTCCAGTTTCAAATAATAAAAAACCCACTGACTTTTCTTACTATAGAACCGGCATACTTCACCTAAATAGAAATTTATACAAAATCGTCGAAAAGATGACGTAAATATTTACCACCACACTACATAGTTTCACGTAATTCTTTACAGTTTGGCAGATAGTCCATTGTCGTTCGCCTGGCCAAGCCAACTACAAAGGCTTCAGCTACCTACTCTACACACGAACCCTCTCAAGTGAAATGCTACACCGCGATTTGGACTCCTACTTCTTTATTCGACAACAATCCATACCCTAATGGTTTTAGTTATGACATACCCCACCACTGCTCCGCTCACCTCGCCACTAACCGTGCGGAGTTACTAATGGGATTAACCAGTCGTTTCTCCCCCGCAACGGCTTAGCCACTAGACGGGACCGACACTTTGGCCACCTTTAACTAACAATTTACAGTAGTAGAAACTACGAAACACGATGGAACTGTTATTTTTCGTTACGATCAGCTGTTGATTAGTTTAGTCACTCAGTTTGATTTCTTACTCTTTTTAATAAATGACTTTACCTAAGACCGTTTTTAAGCTATCCGTTTCAGTTCAGTTCTTAGAATTGAAAAGATTTACCTAACAGCATTGTTTGACTTAACAACACGAGTAACGGACTAATGAAGTTCAAGGATTGAGAGAAAAGAAGTAAAATTGTAATGCTTCGAACTTCAACTAATCAGCTGTTTAGACCGATTTAATTGTTGAGTGATACAATTAGTGGTTGGTACAATGAGTTGTTGCATTACTGTAAGTGGCAATGAGAGGTTATAACTGAAAACATAACCTCTCTTAGAAGTAATGAGTGGTGATAGTTAGTAATTAAAAAACTGTCGTAGGTAAAGTAGTGTACGAAACTCACGTAAATAGTCTTAACGCGATCGTTGCGTAAACTACTATAAATTTTAAATTTAAATTTCCTAAATAGAAAGAAAATGGGTCTACATTACTCAAAACAATCTAAAAAAATGTATGCTGCAAAAATAAAGAAATGGTTAGGAATATAAGTAGTTAGTGTATGTATTGCACTAAAAAAGTTATGCATTCATTATCTCCGTTTGACCATTTAAGCTATTTGTGAAGATTGAACTAGTTAATAATTATATATATAAAAAAGTTTCGTTAAGCTAAAACTTTAACAACCTCCATCAGATATTAAATTGAGGCTATATTAGTTTACTAGTAAAGAGTGTCATAATGCTTAATTAAGGAGTTTTCTTATACATACACTCATTCAAAACCAACCCTTAGAAGCTAAGATTAATTATCCAAAAAAATTGTTTATGGAACACATTTTTTTAAGCCAATAAAATAGTTTTGGAAGTCACTATAGACTTTATTTCAAGTATTAAGGGAAAACACATTTTTTCGGATTCTCAGGAATTCATTTTCAAAACACTTACAAGGAAATATGGGCATTGCACTACTTGTTTCCTTTAAAGAAGAGATCGACGTAAACATTTGGTATAGATAATGAATAATGTATCGAGTTTTATTTTTATATCAATTTTAGCAAATATAAAAAATCTATGCTGAATAACATGGTTTAACAACGATATTTCTTAACGAAGTAGAAACTATCATGTGAAATTAAATCCTTCACTTCTAGGACTAAAAGATATATATATATATATTCAGGTTCCATACAGTTGATTTTAAGTGTTGTTGTGGTTAAAACACCTTTTCTGAATTTCTCGAAAGAATATTAAAAAAAAATTAGGACATACGAATTTCCAAGTACAGATGAAAGAGTTGACATTGCACTGTCTCTATTTGATATAATGAAAGGCATTGCATTGCATAGTTCTTTGAAGAAGCTATGTACCCTTTTAATGGCGAATGTATCGATGAATACTATGGGTCGGTCGTGCAGCAGGTAACAGAAACAAAATCATTACACCCCCTTCACCCTATTCCACCCTCAAACTACCAGCTCAGACCACGCAAATACAACCAGCTAGGAACTTTGGAAACTGTTTGATACGTGACCTTATATTGTTGCGCTAACCTTTGAAATTCAACGCGATATCCAAAACTGATGTGTCAAAAGTTTGGGTAGATTCACTGAGATTTTACACAATACGATTTAGTTCTTATGATCACACAACATGCATTAAAAGTTCAGTTTATCCAATAATTATAAGATTATTAAACCCAATTAGGGAACTGTTATCATTCATCATGGATAGGCTTCCACGGTCATCTTTCATATATAATCATGGTTTACGGGGTTCGACCGCGTCCATAGGTTATGTACACTATGTACAGAAACTACCGACGTTTCGACCACATTGCAGTCAGCCATCTTCAGGGCGAGCGAGTCCTATAACATCACCTTAGTTCACAGGCTCGTCCTGAAGATGGCTGACTGCAACGTGGCCGAAACGTCGGTAGTTTCTGTACATAGTGTACATGTACATAGCCAAATTACGTGGTTGAAACCTAAAAACCACAATTGTGTATACAACAGTTACCATTATTGGAAAATCAAACCTGTAAAACCTTCTGTAATGGCTACAAGATTGACTTCTTTATTTATAGACGTAGACATCCCAGTTTCATGTTAAATGAGTCGTCTTTAGATACAAATTAAATCACTTCAAATGAGCTCCAGCAGATTGTACTTAAGTCATTGATTTCATTTAATACTTAAACGTTTGTTACCAAGTCGAATTAAAGACATCTAAATAACCGTATAGTTTATGTCACATCAAATATTATAGTACCAAAAATAAGAGATAAAATATAATTTTGACATTAGAGCACTGTGAAAGGTTATTCAACTATGTTAAATTTGAAAATTTTATACAGCTGGTCCTTTAAGATAGGTTGTCCACTTTTAACATCCAAAGGTAAATGCCAAAAGATTAGGATGGAAACATGATCAAATGTTGAGGTTGTTAATTTCTATCAATGTAAAATTTTAACGCTTGGAAATTGAGCAGCTTGAGTACAATATCATAATATTCTGACAAGCGAATCTTAAGTATTTTAATCTCAAGTTAATTTTAATAGCAAAATATGCATCAAGTCCTTATATCATACAGTACAAGGAACATATTATAATTATTTTAGATGGATCCAATAAATTAAATAAGAAACGATTAATCGAAACTACCTCACATGGTTACCATATTATATCGAAGTCAAGTAAAATTATTGGCTATAACAAATTCAAGTATTCCACGACTGTTCAATCAAAATATTTGTTCAAGACGTTTCCTATCAATACGAGAGGGGACTACTTCAATTGTTGAAGAGAGGAAAACCACGAAACACACACAAGCGTATCTGTACGTAAACAAGTCCAACTGTAATTGTTTACAGACGCACCGGTGAGACTTCAAAGAGTTTCAAACATTCGTTAAGTTTCACCTGAACTTAAGTTTCCTTGGTGTTTAGCTTCTTACCAACTGTGAATTGGTTTACTGTAAATATCACTTTGAAAATAAATATTGTGTGCAAATAAGATGGGGTTTTACAAAATGGTTGGAGAATGATTTTTGTGAGCCTACATGAAAAGATGACGAACAAAAGCTTATTGAAACTGCAGGTTCCTCCAATTCTTCTTGTTCCTTGAACCTGGTTAGAATTCTGTTTGGGAATGGTCGATATTATATAATGGTTAAAAGCTTGGTTATAAAAATCCAGTAGAAATTTGGTGTTGTTCATAGTTCAGTTAAAAAATTTAAATATGCTAGTGTTGGTTTTTGAGTTCAGTTGTGCAATGGTAGTCTGTCCATTTTGGCTTTCAGTTCTGTGATAGTATGGTTGTGTTGGTTCGCAGTTTGTTTTTGGAATGGTAATCGGATTCGTGGTGGTTTAGGGTTCAGTTTTTCAACCGTACTAGTTTGGAAATAAATTCTGGAATTGCAGTTTGTTCATGTTGGCTTAGAGCTTAACTCCGTAATGGTAGTACATTCATGTTGGTTTACAGTTCGGTTCTGGAATGGTACTACATTCACATTGGTATGTACCTCATTTCTGGAATGGTAGTACATTCATGTTGGTTTACAGCTCGGTTCTGGAATGGTACTACATTTACATTGGTAAAGACCTCAGTTCTGGAATGGTACGTTCATATTGGTTTAAAGCTCAGTTCTAGAATGGTACTACATTCACATTGGTAAAGACCTTAATACTGGAATGGTACTATATTTACATTGGTAAAGACCTCAATTCTGGAATGGTATCACATTCATGTTGGTTTACAGCTCAAATCTGGAATGGTGGTACTACATTCACATTGGTAATTTCCTCAATTCTGGAATGGTAGTACGTGCATGTTGGTTTACAGCTTGGTTCTAGAATGGTATTACGTTCACATTGGTAAAGACCTTTAATTCCGGAATAGTAGTACGTTCATGTTGGTTTACAGATCGGTTCTGGAATGGTACTACATTTGCATTGGTAAAGACCTCGACTCTGGAATGGTAGTACGTTCATGTTGGTAAAGACCTTAGTTTTGGAATGCTAGTTCATGTTGGTTTACAGCTTAATTCTGGAATGGTACAACATTCACATTGGTAAAGACCCTAGTTTTGGAATGCTAGTTCATGTTGGTTTACAGCTCAATTATGGAATGGTACAACATTCACATTGATAAAGACCTTAGTTCTGGAATGCTAGTTCATGTTGGTTCACAGCTCAATTATGGAATGGTACTACATTCACATTGGTATATACCTCAGTTTTGGCATAGTAGTTCATGTTGGTTTACAGCTCAATTATGGAATGGTACTACATTCACATTGGTAACGTCCCTAATTCTGGAATGGTAGTACGTGCATGTTGGTTTACAGCTTGGTTCTGAAATGGTACTACATTCACATTGGTAAAGACCTTCGTTCTGGAATGCTAGTTCATGTTGGTTTACAGCTCAATTATGGAATGGTACAACATTCACATTGGTAAAGACCTTAGTTCTGGAATGCTAGTTCATGTTGGTTTACAGCTCAATTATAGGAATGGTACAACATTCACATTGGTAAAGACCTTAGTTTTGGAATAGTAGTTCATGTTGGTTTAGAGCTCGGGAAGGTAGCATGTTCGCCGATTCATCATCGTTCCTCGGCTTGATTAGAAGTGCGATAAGACTTGCTGCGTCACGGAGGTGATGGACTTATTAATAACATTCCAGGTAACCTTCTAGCATGCTAGGCTCACTGACAGCTTCGGTACCTGTGACTTGTAATCAGCTGTGACAGCAGGAGTGGCCTGTGGATTGAAGATTCATAGGTCATTAAATATATCCTGGTGGAAATTCTAGAATATATATATAATTTAGATTTTTTAAATTGTAGCTTTATATTGACGTTTAGGTGGGTTGTTGAGGATTGTTTGAAAGAGCAGCGTGGTATTTAATGTGTAAAATAATTATCCACAAACTATACAGCTTGGAAAAGCACCTATTGTATACGAATAAGCAAAAATATAGTATTCATATTAACATATTATGCTATCGTATTTTGATGGTAGTTCATAAATATTTAAAAACGTGCAAGATAAAGAATAGTTTTCTTTGCCAACCCCTTTCTAGTCACAACCCCAATATATTTATGAAAACTGTTCTCATAAAGTTCCAAGTATGTTATTGAACAACCTTTTCCTACAGTTACCTAACAATGTACATGTTCTCTCACTGATTTGAGAAAGCAAAGTGGCAAATTCGCTCATCAGTGAGACAATGTTAACTTTGTCTCACTCTAATTACTTTGTCTCACTCCAGATTTGCAACGTGAAGGCACGAAATAGTGAGCGCGTAACATGCAGGCAACGTCGTATGCGCGCGAAATACGTTGGCAGCACTGGCTGTAAATCGGCTGGTCAGCTGTTGTACTGTTGTATTTCTCACTTTACATTAAATGTTATGTTAAAAGTTCACTTCTGTGTAAAAATAGGTTATGTTTCTTCACCAATTTATTTGTTTTATGGTAACTGTAGGAAAAGTATAATGTGCAACTCGAGTTCAAAGTACAATTTCCTCACTCGAGAAACCATTCCTCACTCGCCTACGGCTTGTGAGTAAGGATTTCTCTCGAGTGAGTCAATTGCTCACTTTTCTCACTAGTTGCACAAATAACTATTTTTGCAGAATGCAAATAATATCCATATACACATTTTTTATCTAATGAAATTATACAGTCTGACGCACGCCTATCGTGGAAATATCGATGCAACGCAACGTCTAGAATTATTATCCAAAAGGTTAGACTTCAATCACCAAAACTACAACAACCCAAACTACGTTTTATAATTTTTAAGACATTGCAAACATTTCACATGACTTACATGTATATATCACAAAAATGAGATGCCTTACCAATGAATACAAACAGTAAAAACGTTTTTAAATACAGTGTAGAACCCGAAAACCAAAAAAATACAGGATGATCAAAGTAGTTTTTAAAGTCGGTCACAATATTTGTAAAATGAAGGTTATTTTCAAAATTCCAACAAATAGTTGTCATTAAAAATCCATAAAATAATAATTTATGTTTTAACTCAACAGTTAAAAAAGTAATTCCCAGGTGTTTTTAGGAAATAGGCGGGAATCTAAAATTGTATACAACGCCATTCAAAAGGTATAATGGTTGACTCAAAATTGAAAGAAATAAAAACGAAAAATGGAGAACAAAGGCCGCCACCGAGGTATAAGTGCCAATAGGCGGTATATTACTATAAGTGTATAGTCCCATACGTGCGCAGCGAGATACCTGGTGACATCGGTCCTCCTTGATAGTGTATCCAGCCGAGGTGTATATATTCTAAGAGCGGTGCACAACTTTCATGCGAGAACTGAAATATAGTTTCGCTTATAACGAGAGAACGGTTTGGCCTAAAGGCTTGAAGGAAGGTTATTTTCCACTAAATCATATATAAGGAATCGAACGCAATTGGTATTCAGTCTGACGAATAAAAAAAGAGCAACGGTGATTGTGGTCCACCCAAGAGTGGACGTAGTTTACTAAAAAACCGAAAGGTAGCAGTTTTATTCTTATGGAGAATAAATAAACTGTTGTATTTTGCTTGTTTATGGATATAGTTTAATAAAATTTGGCAATTTTGTTTATTTTATATTAATCTATTAACATTTCAATAAAATACACACCGCAATACCTTCTCTGTAGAAGCAAACCTAGGTAGTCATTAAAATAAATGTTATTAAAATAGGAAATAAACCTGACAATTTTCAGGGTATATTTTAGTAGAAATCCAACCGGGTAAATGGAAATTCACTTAGTCTGCAGGTTTGCTGCGGCGGGGGTATTTTTTAAATCACTTAGCTACGAGCATAAACAACAAATACTATTATAATGGTATACTCCTCGCGGCAGCTAACATAAGAGGCTATTATTTATATCAATAATAAGTATTTAAAATATAATTCAAATAAAATTCAGACTAGCAACTTAAAATACACTTTATTACAATTTGTTGTT